GAAATGGTATCTGACAGTTCTTTTGTTCTCAAAGAAGTCTCTTAAAGATTCCTGCCCTTCCAGAGCATGTTCTGAGAGTAGTAAATAAATTTCCTTCCAGTATACCCATCTTCTTTCAAACTGCTGCTTCTATGCTTTATCTCAGTGTGCATGTTTGTTGTGCTGTCTCTTTAAAGGTGGGGACTCCGTTTCCTACTGCACTCCTGCTCTCCCAGAGTGGAGTCTGCTTATTTTTAAAGTTCCAGGTGTTACATCACTGATTATATGAACTTGGGATGTTAGGCGTCTCTGGTTTTCAAAGACAAATGTTGGGGGGAGGGGAATTTCTCTTTCCAGTGGGGGTCCCCCATGCTTCAGGTGCCTGGCATGGGATCTGTACCCTTTTCTGTGCCTTTAGTTGTCCCCCCTCCCTCCTGTGGACAGTCTTGTGGGTCAGCTTGGTTCCCGACCTCATCTGCCCTTATTACTGTTCTTGGTGTGGCATCTTTAAATTTGACTTTAGAGGGTTTGTCCTGCCAGTCTTTGTGTCACTTTCTGGGTTATTTACACTGGTTGGGTGTTATGTAGATATATCTGTGGGACAAGCTGAGTTGAGTATCTTCCTATTCCACCATCTTTCCTGGAAGTCCTTTGGTTAGCGTGGTTTAACATTTTTACCACTAAACTAGGTTTTCACATTCACTTCTCTTGATATTTCCTAATAGCAAACAGTGGAAGGATAATGCCAAATACTCCGTGACGTTTTTTGTTGTTGTTATTGTTTTGTTTTAAAGGTATTTGCCTCTACAATCATTCTTGACTACTATTTCCAGTTTCCAGTCTTCAAGCTTTTGTGTACTTGAAACATGACAAATTTGATCAGTGCAACCATGCTGTTCATAAAGGTTCATGGAATCACAATTTCAAATAGTAAATCCCAAGGAGTAAGTAGTTGTAGATTGAACAGATGAGCTCTAGATGGCTGGCCATCCCTACAGGAAAGACATACAGGAATTTCTAAAGAAAAATATACCACCTGTTGATTTATTGATTTCATTTTTACATAGTGTTTTCTACTTCTTAATATACCATGGTAATCGTGGTATAATTGTACTTTTGAATTGTACTTTTTCACATGGTCTCTCCATTTGTTACCAATAATAGGCACTGGTTGTTTCTAAGTTTTTGCTGTTCTAGAGACATTAAGAGTATCATCATTCATGTGGATTCTATTTTCTTGAATTAATGTACTTCCTTTAAAATAAGATTGGGTCAAAGAATATGACCATTTTAATGATCCTCGATACATACACTGCAACATAACTTTCTAAAAAGGTTGTTAGCAATTTACACTGCTCCCAGAAGTATATGGCCAAGCCTGACTTGGCCATCTCACAACCTGGGTGAGCTGCTTAAAAACAAGCTTTAATTTCATCACTGTATAATGCCTATTATGTGTCAAGCCTGCGATGTCAGAAAGTCAAGTGAATCATTTCCAGACCCTTCCTTACACACTAACCTTCTTAGATGTTTTATAACTTGATATGGTGGTAAGGTCGAGCCAGATGCCCGGGTTCAAAGTCAGTTTCACTGCACATTAGCTGTGTAAATCCTTTGACAATCACTTAACTACTTAGTCTTTCGGTTTTCTCATCCGTACAAGGAGAATGCCTACTTCGCAGGATTTTTCTGCGGATTAAATATGGTCTTACTACATGTTGAAAGTAAGCCTATGCTCTTTTCAATACCCTAAGCCAGGACCCCAAAAAATCCTTACGCATACATTTAATTTTGGTGAACAGCCAAAAGCTATTTGGAGGCAGGTCTGCAAGAGAACTCATTTATTAAACTGTTATAAATGTTTAATGTATAAAACCACTTAACATTTTTAAAGTGCTGGCATTTAAGCATTAGTTTATGAAGAAAATTTATTTTTTTATGAAGAAAATTTATATTGAATTCATATTGGGCCAGTCCTGTCATTGCAGATCGATGCCAGACAACGGAGTTATTGCTATTCTGTCTGTCCTCAGTCTGCCTGTGTAAGCTTGCCTTCTTTCCTTTTAAATGAGTCAGTTTGGTCCCTGAGAAAGCAAGATTATTTTTGTCTTGAGGTCTGAGAAAACTACTTGTATGAATTGCTTCTTCTCTTGCACTCTCCTTAAGAGACTTCTATTAGATGGATGTTAAAATTTGAATCAATCCTCCACGTCTCACACTTTAATGGGTCTCTCCTTGTGTTCTGGAAGGGGCCCCCATCCAACCTTCCACCTCACTCATTCATTCTTTGCATGCATTCTTCTATTTTGCTCGTCTACTTATTTTTATGATTCATTCACTGATTCAACAAACTTCTGTTGAATGTTTCTGTGGTACCAGGGATTGTCTAAAAACATTTTTTAGATTTCCAGATTTTTTTGAATTACACATCCTCAAATCGAAGACTGTTGAGTTTGTTGTCTCATTTAGAACTTTTCCTCAAATTTCTAGGATTTGTCTATTTATCTTTGACATTTGGGATCTTTGTTCATTCTTTCGGAATTGCTGGTTCAGTCACAGGTCACCTGCCTCCGTTAACTGTGGGGGAACATAGGGACACAAAACCACATGAGGTAGTGCAGGAGTCTGCAGTCTTAGAGTGTGGGCTCTCATTCCTACTGGGGATCTATAGCTAATGTTTCATGGGCCTTCTCTAGCCCAGTGTCCCCATTCTGTGATTTGGCTGGAGAACTATTGCTGTTGCTACCTACGGCTCAGCCCAAGTAGGAAAGAAGCCAAATGATCTACTTTTGTCAGGTGTTAGCTCCCCCAGAAATCCTCTGGAGTCTTCTAAGATCCTCCCCTAGTTTGGGGGATAGTCCTCCACTTCCGCAAAGCTGTGCTCTCCTCAGTCTTCTAGATCATGTCCTGTTTCCCTATCTCAGAAATTCCTCAAAAGCATTTGTCAACTGATGGATTTTTGATTTCACAACATCATTAGATTTCATTTTCTTTACTGTCATTTTGTTGGATTTGGAGGAGAGAAGGCAAAGGCATCGCTCAGTCTAACCATCTTTATACAGTCTCTCTTCTTAATGGGCATTTATTTCAGTTCGGTGGTCAGGCTAGTAAATCTGTCCAAACTGCTAGACACCAGTCATAATACTCGTGAGAGGGTTTATGCACGATTCAGTTACCTCCTGTCAGTGCCATCAGCAAAGTACAAGGAAAGTGCTATGGAGTTCAGAGTTCTATTCGAGTGAGGGTGTCTGGGTTCCTTGAAGAACAGGAAGATACGGGCATGTGGCGACAGGTGTATTTAGAAAAGAGCAGCAACTAGCTTCTTGGACTTGAAATGTTCAAAAGTGACAAAACTTAGTTACATCAAGTGATGAGGGTAAGAAATTGATCAGGTCTTTGTTTCCCTTTCTGGATAAATGGTTCGTAAGGTACAGGATGAAAATAATTGTCCAGGGTTCCAAGAAAATCTATAGATATAATAACAGAACATTCATCACAAAATTAGGGTCAAATGATAAAACTCATGAATTCCCATGTACATGTATGTATGTACATGTAGTATGTACATGTAGACAGAGATCCTTTCATGCCCATTTGTGTGTGCGCTTATCAGCCATAGATTCAGCACCAGGTAAATCCTACTTCTTTCTCCTACATATTTTGAGAACTACAGGTAAAATCTGCATGTGTATTACTACCCGGACACTACTCAACGGGCATTCAATAGTTTATTATAAGAAAGTTTACCACTCCAGAACTACAGGTAAAGTACATTTGGGGAATGGCCCACTCTTTGGACAGATCCTTAATTAGCATAATTGTGGGGGCAAAGGAGAGTTCACTAGGCCTTCATTTCTGAATATATTTTTTATAAGAATATGCACTGTTCAATGACTTATCTAATTTGGAAAATCCTACCCGGGAAATTGGGGCCTGGTGTTTAACCAAGGAATCTCAAATGGGGGTAACGTGAAGAATCGTGTCTTTACCCTAATTCTAAATGTTAAAAAATTGTACTTTAAAGGTTTGTTTTAGGGCCTAAAGCCACCTTAAGACACTGGATTGTTTAGTCAAAAATGATCAAAAGAAGTATTTTGAAGGCTATAAGCTTCTCGTGTCACAAAACAATAAGCAAAACTCATCCGATCTTTATGACACTGACCTAAAATATAAGAAAAAAATTATTATGAATTTAGCTTTTATTCAAAATTAAATAAGCAAAAGCAAAAGTTTAAGAAACTTTTACAAAGTACTTACATAAAAGAAAGTTAATAGGGACAGTCACAAGTTTGCAACAAATAATTACAAAAGTATCTAGGGCAGCAAGAATATAAACCATGTCATAGCATGGTGATCTAATTGTGATATGAATAAGGCATAACTAACATTTGCACCAAGACCAGAATTAAAAAATAAAACATACTTTAAAAGCTTAGTTCTACATTAAGCTTCTCCTCTTCCCCCAGATCCTTAATGCATGTATCCTATGTAATTCTTTTAAACACATCATGTCAAACTATAAATTATATAGATGGGCAGTTAATGTGAAAAGCCCCCTAAAATGTACAAACTAACTGGTACTGAGTTGAGTTCTCCATTTACCTTTATGTACAGTTCAATGTAAACCATATTTTCACAGTTTTGAGTGTTTTATGAATAGATGCACAGTACCATGGCAGGTTTGCAATTGTTCCTAAAAACTGGCTCTAGGTTCTGCATCCCAAGCCTGCTGGCCTCTAGGACGCAAGTATTTACATAAATAAGGAACTGTGTCATAGTCAGTGGTCAAGACAGTTCAGCAAGAGCAGGATTTCCAACCGAGAGAGATACTCAATACCGTAGCTTACAGACTTGTGCAAATAGAAGCATTTAGGACAGATACATCTGAGGTGAATTCAACTCGCAAAAACTTGTCTCACTGCTGTTGTAAACTCAGGCAATAACCAACCCTCAGCCAGGTCTGCTCTCTATGGCTTTTTTTTTTTCTTTTAAAATTTTAAAGCCAGAGAAAATGCGCACGCGCGCACACACACACACACACACACACACACACACCCCACATACACACGGGTCTCGCTTCGTTTTAGAATATGGTACATAGTGCAACTTCATGACAATGTAGAGGTCTGACACACATTCAGTGCGTGTTTTTCTGTGCAAGTTCTTAGTGGTCTCCGTCCTACTTGAAGGTATTGATTTGCAGAACCACATGATTCAGGAGGTTGAAGGAAGGGGAAAAAAAAAAAAAAAAAAGGTTTCCTTACATTTCTCAAACCAGCACTGGATGTGCAAAAGGCAGCAGACAACCCGGCCGTCGGCACAGCCAGATCAGGGTAACTTTAAAGGAAGATCCAAGCAGTCAGTTTACTTAGATTGGTCTCTAGAAAAATAGGTCAGTATATGCTGTATCTTTGTCAACCGTTCTTTCAAAGACTTCATCGACAAGACAGACAGCTGGTATCGGGGATCTACAGGGAGAACGGCCAGGAGCCACCAACACCAAGCCGGTCCGTTAGGGGTTGCCTAAAAACGATCAAGTTCATAGTGTTAATACAAGGCACATCTCTGGGACAAAAGCAGTAACAAACCAACAAGCCACTGGTCACTGAGCGCTTTACTACGTGTCCAAGAGTGTCTCTCAAATTCTTCTAACAGGCAGGTAAGGAAGGCTCTTATGCCCGTATGAAAGGGGGAAAGGGGACACCGGACTGAAACCCAGACCTGACGCCAGGGCCGGCCCTCTCTCCTCGGCCCCGCGCTGCCTTGCGGCAGGGTCGCTCTCCTTCAGGCTGCGGACATCTGGGGACCGTCCTGTGCCTGGTGTCCTGTTCAGCAGCAGGTCTGACCTCTCTCCACTAAGACGCCAGAGGCGGCAGTGAAAAGTTCTCTCGAATTGCATGAGGGGTGAGGTCTTAAATGTGAAAGACACACATGGAATAGCAAGGGAAAGAGGAAAGGAGCCGTCAAAGACAACGACACACCACATGTGCCACGGGGACAAAACTGTCCTGAGAACTACTTTCTTAAAATACATATCTAAAACGTTAAGCGGATATTTAAAAATGTCTGCAAAGAACTGTGGAATCCTAGGCAAGATATGAAAAGGTCTCCACCTCTAGCTTTGTTCTAAAAATAAACATTTCCAGCAAAGAAGTCCTTCGGATGCTGCTCTGGTGTTGCAAGGGCTGTCTGCGAGCTACTGAAAGAACTTGGAATTTGTACACAGGAATTTTTAAGCCACTTCTGTTGCACACTGGCTTGCTTCTTACTGAACCTGAAACCCGAGGTTTCAGAATGACAGAAGGCGCTCCCGAGATCAGTGTGGATCCCTCTAGAATCTCCTAGAATCACACTGAAGTTGCTGTGTTCGTGGACTATCTCCGCTCAGCTCAGCCTCACTACCTCCTCCTCCTCGCATTTCAGGGGGGTTGGAAACGTTTCCCAGAATCCGTTCCTTCACATGGTTCTGGGTTAGAGTTGGCTAAGGAGAGGCACACTTCTGTGAGATGTGGAAGTTGGAAGAGAAGAAACCATTGTTCTCCTGAGACTGTTGCAAAGTGTCGGCAGATCTGCAGGAGCGTTCCAGAGAATTCTTAGCAGCCACCTGATACTGATACTGGTGGGTACCTCCCTGGTCTTCCTAAGAATTACAGAAACTTCCTGCAAGTTCTTGAGAAGATGGTGCTTCACTGCATCAGGCTGAGATCTATGGTGGCAGGCCCCCGTCTCCCATCCGTGAGGTCCCTGATCTTCACTCCTCCAGCTCTACCAACAGCTGTGTCAACTCTATGTCCTACAGTAAACCCCTCCCGCCTGGATTATACAGCGTGGCCGCTTTTGTTTTCCTGACCAAGTCCTGATTCCCGACAATACTACCAGAAAGCAGTGCTAGAGGACTGAATAATAAAAGGGAAGGGTGGTGAACGCAAGGTTGGATTTTTACATTTAAATTCTACTTGTTCAATTTTATGATTATCAAAGGCTATTCCGTCCCAGCTAATCAGATTCAGGTAGCGAGGATAAAACAAATGTGTGGCAACTGCTGGGATGTGGGACACAGAGGGGTACTCAGTTCAAAGAAGATGGTCTGGTGTGAGAAGTTCAAGTTCAGGTGAAGGATTCAGCAGGGATTCAGACACTTAGGCGAGCCTTTGAAAATCAGAATGAGAGGCAGTGTCCATCACACTGGGATCTAGTCTCTCTCCCTCTTCATCTCTTTCTAGACATTCCATTATGAAATCTACTACCCTCTGACCATCAACATTTTAATCAATTCAAAATGCTTAGGTCTAAAAGTTAGTGTTTTGATGGATCGATCATCAGATTTTCCAGAATGAGGATACTTCTTTTCGTGCGCCTTACAGTGCCAACTGCACCGATCGGCTCGCACAGAAAGTGCCTTCTATACATTGAAGTTAAACATAAACCTTAAGTACTTGAGCAAGACCATCAGAACGATAGTTTCCTGAGGAGCGAAGTGTTAAATATGAAGAGACACAAAACCCAGCTGTCACAGAATAGCTGACTGGCTCCAAGGCTGACTAGGTCTCTTATTAATCACAATTTACTAGGTGGGTACCATTTTACTAGACTATTCTACCTTCCACTCCTTATGCTTCCTTCAAGCAAATCCCCTGTGAAGGGCTTTGTTCTATGCACTCACAGCTACAGCTACCTCAGGTGACAACTCTGTCCTTGCCCATCCCTATGCAAACTCTAGTGGACATCAAAGGAGAACAGGGTCATGACTTTAAAGCCAGCAGGGACAAGGAAATGCTGTGCAAAAGGAAAACAGAACTTAAAAATCCACTAATTTGAGTTTATTTAGAAAAGACTTTTGGAAACAATATCCAAGCCATCCTACCTGAAGGTTCTCCTCCCTCCCAGGCATTGAGCCAAAGTGCTGAAGAATTTGGCTTCGAAATCTGTCTCTTAAATTCTGAAACCAGCTGCAGGCTTGTGAGTAGACCAGATCATGAAGCTGTCTGAGGTTCTTGATCTCCTCTTCATTCTCAACCTAGAAACACAACAGTCAGTTAAGACTCGTGTCTAGTCTTCCGGTCCCTTATCACTAACCCTACAGAAATGAGAAAATAGTAAGAATTTAGAAAGAGGCAATACCTATTCCAGCGCTGGATCAGAGTACTCTGCAATATATATATGTATATAAAAAATATATATCATATATATATATATATATATTATGCATTTCTGCCTCACGTGCTGCCCACAGCCAGACAGAAGAAGCACCAATGGAGGGCCACCCCACTTGTCCACAATACTGTGGAACCCTCCCGAGAGCTTCCAGGTGGGAGTGGGACTCCTGAGGGTGAGTTCTTGGATAAAGGGCTATGCAAATTTGAAACTCCTTTTTGGCTTTATGGATTAATGGCTCTTGAAAATAGTGGAACAATAAAAGGGAAGACCAGGGGGGAAAGTTTTAGGCAGAGCTACCATGGCAGAACCCAGGAACAGGATGGAGGACAACCATAGTGACACCTTTTTACCAGGGAACTGGAGAATAACAAGAAACTAAAACCAGTATATCAGAAAAGAGAGAATAAATTATGCCAAGATGAAGTGCTTCCTGTGAAGGCCAAGGCTGGGGCTACCTCCATCATCCCTCCCTGCATCCTGCAGGCAACATAAAATTAAACGCATCCGCCTTGCAACCTAAGATCCAGAAGGAGTAGCCTCCAGAACCCAGGAGAGAAAATAGAGCATTAACTCATCCATTGATTTCTTCGGCACGCGCTTCTAGCCCACTCGCTCCGTGCCAGGGAGCGCCCCACTTCACATACATTAAGCCCTCTGAACAAACACCAGGCCTGACTCAGCCTTTGATACTTTTAGAGTGACTCACTATAAAAACAATATACTTTTTATTTTTGAAAGATCTGAAATGAAAAATTAAAAACCACTTGCTTTTTGCACAGTGTGAATGTACTTAATGCCACTGAACTACAGACTTAAAAATGATTAAACCGGTAAATTTTGTTAAGAAAGAGACAGAGGAACCACACAACTGAATTCTAGTCTTGGAATGATGACAGAAGGTTCAGTCCCTTGCTAACACTCATTGGTCTTGATAGGAGCTGGAAACAAGCTTGTGACTTGTTAAAAGTATTAAAGAAAACTGCTACTTTGTACCCTGCTAAAATTCAAGGAAACCACGGGCTGGAGAAAACAATGACAAAAAGGTGAGTGCCTGAGATGGAAAACAGAGCTGGCTAAACGCGAGTAGAACCTGAAGTCTTCAGTAGAAGTCACAGAAAACGGAATCACTACACTAAGGAGAAAAAGAAAAGGCTTTGCTGTAAAAACCAAATTTGAGAAGCTCTTCCAAAGAAGACAACAAATCATTATGGAGATGAGGCCTTAGGAGGAGGAAAAATTATGAGACATTCCTAAGACTACAAAGACAGAGAACGGTCTCTAAACCTCAAATCCATAATGCTTTCAATATGCTATTCTCTTGCCCCGTATCAACAGTCACAGGGTTAGCCATATACTCAAGGGATTTTGTCATCAAATCCAAATGTGAAGTGTAAACTTGCAAAAAGCTAAAACGGGGCAGTACTTTTACAAGGAATATTGCCTTTAGCACATGATTCTGTTAACCAAGCATGTCTGTTTATCAAGGCACAGATGTTATCAATCAGCTCAGAATTTCAACTCATTTCGAGGTGATGGGGAAGGGGAAGGGAAATATGTGCCATAGGCCACCAGCAAAGAAAAAGTGTCGTGGGGGCGCCTGGGTGGCTTGGTGGGTTAAAGCCTCTGCCTTTGGCTCGGGTCATGATCCCAGGGTCCTGGGATCGAGCCCCACATTGGGCTCTCTGCTCAGCAGGAAGCCTGCTTCCTCCTCTCTCTCTGCCTGCTTCTCTGCCTACTTGTGATCTCTATCTGTCAAATAAATAAAATCTTCTAAAAAAAAGTGTCGTGTCCCCATGGCATCGGGAAGGGAAATTTGTGCCATAGGCCACCAGAAAAGAAGTGTCGTGTCCCCATGGCATCTTTATAATAAGCTAGGACAGGGAATATCAGACTAATCGAGTTCACCAGAGAGGCAGTACCGCATATGAAAGCAGAGCACTCAGGGGCCAGAAAGCTTGCTTTCAGTCACTTTTAGGACTCTGCCTCTAGGATCTTAGGCAAATTAACACTTTTTTTTACCTCCCTCATCTGCTAGCTGAGTTTTGCAAATTCAATGAGCTTACGTCTGTAGAAGTGCCTAATGTCAACATTCAATAAGCAATTAAAATGAAGGGCCCAGTGGGAAAAGTCCATGAACAGTGGGAGTGTAAGATCAGTGGTTTTATAATGTCCTTCCAAAAGAAACTGCCTTTAATTTGGTACCTAGCCTAACTGCAGATGGTGACTGAGCTACTGGAAACATCAGAAGGGCCCCATGAACCCTGTCCAAGAAGGTCATCCCAATAAACCTCCCCAGGTAAGCCGTCACCAGGAAGTGTAGTGATGGTACTTTCTCTGTGATGCCCTAGACTTTGAACACATCACCCAACTATGTCCCTTTATCATTAAGGTTACGCCACACACACATATAGAAGTTTTTAAAGGATTTTGTGTTTACATTTATGTCATTTCAGTCTGCTGATTATATCAGTTTTGACTACTAAATTTAATCGAGAAGGGCAGGGATTAGCAGCTTTCCTAACTTAGATGGACTAAGCCCCCTCCATACCCACATACTTCCAGGTACCATGCTGGTTCTAGAGCCTGGAGAAATGAAGACCTACGTTCTGGACACCCAGGCTCGCCTGGAACTCTCCGTAAGAACGAGACAAGAAAAACCTAACTTGCAGGTAAAATGTCTAACTCTAGAACTCTAAACTGTTTTCCTCCAACGGTATCAACCACAGACCTTCCAACAGGTAAGAAATGTACATTCCTAATTTGTAACATTCAACCATAATCTGCAAAACTAAGAGAGAATTTCTGATAAATACCAAAGTTCAGATCAGTGAGGATCTCTGAGAGGAAGAAGCGTTCTATGTGCCTGGAAAAGTATCAGCCTGCATGTCTGTGTAAGGACTCGGGCAGAGGATACTGAGGTGGTGAAAAAATCATTTTTTCATACCTTCACATCTTCCAGATATTCAATGTCTGCAGTGCAATATCCATCTTTCATTCCCCTTTTTAAAACTCTAAACCGTTTTCCTCCAACGGTATCAACCACAGACCTTCCATCAGGTAAGAAATGTACATTCCTAATTTGTAACATACAACCATAATCTGCAAAACTAAGAGAGAAATTCTGATAAATATCAAAGTTCAGGCATGTGAGTTCCGATACAAACAAAAATATTTATGCACAGAAAAGCGTACCTATTTTGTGTGTCACTGACACACATTCCAAATTGCTTAGTCCCAGTTTGCATACTTCTTCGAATCATCAATCTGTATCTTGGCTCAAACACATGAAGAGGGCAAGGCACAGTGGGGTAGGCCATAGTGCAAACAAATATTGGAACATTCTTGGTCAAGCTAAAGAAGAAAAAAGTTTCATTATCACATATCAGAACATAAAAAAATCTGTGAAGCTTGCCACGTTATAAATTAATATAAACAATTAGCTCTAAATGAGGTGATTTTTATTTTTGCCAAGAGCAAGAATCAGCATCTCTTCATTAAGCTCTCACAGATGCAATATTAATACTAAAAATCTGTGATCCTTTTATCAAAGTAAATCTGAATTTAAGATACCAAATTATTATATAGAGCTAAATCATTTACGAATAAAAGGTATAATTAGTATTTGGTATTAAAAATTTGTTTAAAATATATGTAAGTTAACCTTTTGTCCATAAAATACTCTTAGAGAAGGAAAAATGAGCTCCCACAATAGACAAAAAGCAAATCCTTAAGATTCTTAGTGCATTTGAAAATATTTCAAATGCACTATGAAAAACAGATTAACTCTTTTTTCAGGATGATTAAAATTAGAGAATATTTTTCACTGCCAGATTGGCAGGAAATAAGAAGGATAAAGGCAACGCCCAGTCCTGGCAAGTTCGTGGGAAAAACCGGCAGTGAGGAGGACAGTTTGAAACCATACAACCCTGCTGGAGAAGAATTTGGCTGCGTGTGTCAAAAACTTTAAAAAGTTCATATCCTTTGAACTTCTAGAGATAATTCTAAGCACTTTAGGACAGTTTACTGTAACATTGTATACAGTAACCAAAACTTAGAAGAGGGACTACTAAAATCCTATAGGCCTCTCCACAAAATGAAACACTGTTTTCATTAAAAGATGTGTACATGTTGACTTGGAAAAAAAAGAAATAACAGGAGATTATAGACTAACATAAATAAAATGATCTCATTTTTGTTTAAAATGTATTTATACATATATTAAAATCTAGAAGGATATATGTCAAAATGCCCATGGGTGATTCCTTTCAGGTTATAGATTGTGACCTTCCTCCTCCCTTCCCCCACAGGCTAATTTTACAGTATTTTCTAGTTTTTCTTCAAAAAGGCATAACTATATTAAAGTAATATTTCATATTACAAGTGCTTGTTCCTCTTTTGAAAATGTGTATTCTACCCTCACTGAGCACTCTACTGGGTCTTACAGCTCGTACGTTGACAAGCAGTGGATCTATTAATTAGGAAAACTCTCGAGTACCTGGGGATGAGCTACCTCTTTTAAAAAATCCCCTGTTGCTAAGCGGCAAGACTCCCTCCGACCTCCCTGCCTCACTCAGCACCCCCTCCCATGACTCCTTCCTCTGTCATTTGAAGATTCCAGTCTTTGGCAGAGTTAGATTAATTTCTAAATTATATCTGAGGCTTTCTTATATCCGGCTTTTCACACTGTTGACCAAAAAGGTTCATAATCCTCGTATCAAAATATTTTCTATCCTAAAAATCACACAACAGAACATGAGTTCCATGGAAGACCAATCAGTATCCATTTTGGTACAGAGAAGACTGGAAATCGTTCTTCTGTGGAAGGCCCCTGGCCCAGTGAAGACAGTCAGTGGACACATACTAATTTTGCAAGCACAGTTTTTTCTTAGAAAGTAAGAAAAAATGTATTTTGAAAAATAGTCGAAACAAACAAGGTATTACGTAAAAACTGCAATTCTGTTCTTCAGGGTGGAAGAAAAAGTCAAGAAATTAAATACCTAGGAAAAATTTGAGAGACTCAGGTGACTGGAGCAAGAGGAAAAGACATGAAGGGAAAAGAACGGAAGAGAAGGACGAGGAAGGAAGAATACAGAGCAACAAAAGCAGGTCCGACCTCCCCAGCCCCGACTAGCCCTTGTGTGCTCGCTCTTCACAGCGGTCTATACCAGCTGTACCAGTCAATAATCTTCATTGACTGAGAATTTGGCCCCTAAATCTTTCAGTCTCAGGCCTCAAAGTCCCACCCCCTTCCCTAAGCTCTAATTGGCTACTGCGCCTGCCAATCAGGGCCCTCTCTCCTCAATCCTCTTCTTGTCCTGCCTTGGGGCACCAAGGCACCTGAGGGCTCCATTCCCAGTTCCACTGCCTGAAGTCCCTGCAGGAAATCCCTCCTCCACCTAAAAACCTGCTTGGGGCAAAGAGCTGAGTTGCCAGCCTCCAGTGGAAGATCTGGAAGTTACCAGAGAAACTCTTAAACTTCTGTCTGTTGAGGACAGGGGAAGCTGACCAGGGTTTGTTTAAAATGCGCCTCTGGCTAGACTGGGTTGGACTGTAGACAGGATCCAGCTCGCTGGGAGGAGGTCTCTCCTTACTGTGTCAAAGGGCGGGGATCACAGTAACTTTATGAGAAGAAACTTACTGTGAGAGCTCAGCAGTTTCTTCATCATATATTTTTTTTCTCTCAGACAGCTCATCAGGCAGATACTTCACTATCAATTCTTCCAACAGCTGTGTGACACAGTACCTCCTATCTGCTAGATACTAAAAGACAATATTATTTTACATTCCAGTGCTTTTCCTACGGTATAAAACAGGCAAAACAGTTGAACTGAATAGAGTAAAGCCTTAATGACATATTTATACAGTCGAGTCTGAATTAATGGGGGAGGGGGACATGACAATGGATGGTGCCAAACGGGTCCACCTGCCCAGGCTGTGCCCGAGACCCTGAAGGCTACGCGGCTGCAGCGGAAACTGCGCCCTGGACAGAAGCCCCTGGTCTTGCGGTGGCCACAAAGCCTCTCTCAGCAGCAGTCAGGCCTGCCCTGCCCTCTCCCACACCAAAGGCCAACTTCTCTCGTGCGGCTCCTGGGTACTTCAAACTAGCATTTTGTCGGAGAAACAAAAGCGATGGAATAAAGAAAATAAGACCCTCGCCTTAAGTTGGGTTCCCTATTTCAGGGGCGGAGTTCCCAGATCATTTTTCTTTCAGATATTCCTTCCACCGTCACCTGCTATCACTCAGACCCTTAGGGTGCGGTTGCTTTCCCCCCTCTATAAAACGGTACATTTGTACTTCTCCCTCAGTCCTCGGAAAAACTGCCCCTCACGCATTTCTGTCCTTCTCTATTGCAACTGCTAAAGGCCGTACCTCTCCCTCCTGCCTAGGAAGAAGCCTGCCTGTCCTGCTGCAACTTTACCTTTTCCATGACGTCTGCTTAACTAGGTTTCTGTCTCCCAAGAGGCCCATTTTTACCGTCTTTACCACATAAAAGGCCGTCATCACAGCCTGCCCCGTATGCCTCCGTGGACAAGGAGACCTTCTACTTCTGTAGGTAAGTTAAAAACTGCCTGAGGCCGGGGACCAGGTCAGAGTGTGTGTTCAGGATTTTGAAACAAGAAAATCACCAGTATAATCTCATAAAACTAGCGAGGCACAACTCTTGGGAAACAATCACAAGATTAAAGAGAAGCCGTACTTTTAATCTGCAGATGCGGCAAAAAATAAGGGTTTGTCATTATCCGATGAGGAACAGAGGAGGAGGGAGCGTGAGAGGTTGGGAAACGGGACAGGAGTGGTTTTCAAATGTGAGCCTCCGTCAGGGCTTGTTAAAATGCAGATTGCTGAGCCCTAGCCCGGAGTTTCTGACTTAGTGGCTCTGCAGTAGGGGCTCAGAATTTGTATTTCTAACAAGTTCCCAAGTGAAGGGGAACACATTTTGAAAACCAGGGTACAATATGTTATACATAATATATAATGTAATACTCATGTACTAAATTTGGGGAAATACAACCTCTCTTACATTACCGACAGGAATCTAAATTCGTACAATATTTCTGGAGGACCAAGCTACGCAGCAATTGGTTTAAAAAGTCTTATGAATATATGACTTTTGATCAGTAATTCAGCCTTCCAGAAATTTTATCCTAAGGAAATAGTCAAAGACGCCAAGCATAGCATATTTAAAAAAAAAAAAAAAAAAAGAACAAAGCAACTTACATACTCAACATGTAAGAGAAATGTTAAATCAATGGACTATTATGCTGCTATAAAAATCCTATCTTTAAAATACATTCAAATGAAAAAAAATGAGCAAAAGAAAATGACAAGTAGGAAAAGTATAAAACTATAGATCATATCAATTTGTTCTTTAAATATTAGAAATTTACCTATTATACAGGGTATCCTTAGGGCACAGGGTAAGATTATTTTCAAACAGTACGTTAACTGTATTTATAAGTAACACGCTTATAAGGTGAGCTCTCTCTACATTTGAAGCCACATATTTAATTATTAACTTGAGAGAAAGCATAATAAATATACTACAGAGTATCTAAAAACCTGGAAACACAGGAAAAACAGCACGGTTAGAGTACTTCACCTGAAAGTATAGCAGTTGGAATGTAACTAACAAACTCTTTGAGTTTCTCTTGTTTCTGGACTTTATGAAAATTCTGTATATGGTTTTATGTCTCACATACTGGTTTGTTATGTAAGACCCATATCAAATGTAATAGCACATATGTATTATTACAGTATCTGTACAGAGCTGAGTTTTCTATATAGAAAATAACTATGTACATTCAACTGCAAAATGTCTTATCCATTTTTCATTCATATTGGAAGGCACTTTTTTCTTTAAGTAGTCCTGTCACCCACAGAGACAGGATCACTCTCCCTGATCAATGCTATCCTTGCAGTTGGAGCTTAGAATTCTACAGCCTGGGCCTCAGCTTATGGGGGCTCCAGTCACCCAAGCAGGACTGGGAGAATGCAGTCTTCCCACTGGCGACAGAAGAGATGCACCTGAGATCTAGCTGTTTCCCTAACACAGGTTACCACTGACCATACAAGGGGTGTGGGAAGCTGTTCTGTCCAGTATAGCACTTTCTAGAGCTGGGCTGCCCAAAGGGTAGCCACCAGTCAGTCACATGTGCCCACTTATATGAGAATTACAATCTAAAATACAGTTCCCCAGTCACACTAGCCACATTTCAAGTGCTTAATTACCACATGTGGCTAGTGACTACCATGTTGGACAGCACAAATATAGAGCATTTCCATCAATGCAAAAAATTCTATTGGACAGAGTTGGTCCATACCTTAAGGGGTATGGACTAGGGGGTAGGACTAGGGCTGATATCTAACCTATTAAGGGTGGAAGACAGGGCAGTTGGGTTTCCCCAAAAGTGTCATCATTAAAATGGAACCAGTTCTAGACCAGGTACTTGACCATCCCACCTTCTTCAAAAATAAATAAGTACATGGGACTTGGCCTCTAGGACCACCCTACTTTCCCCTGTGCTCTCTAAACTCACATTTCTCCAGCACTACCATTTGGATAATGAAATGTCATCCTCCTTGGTCACTCAGCCTACATAATGTAATTTATTCTGAACACATAATCCCTATTTCTGTGGCCAAACAGAAATCAACGTTGCCAAGCTTAAGACCAATAAGCAGATAAATAGACGAATGTTTACCTCTTTTAAGCTTTCTTTGCAAAGAGGACAATATGGTGTATGATCTAAACAACGCTCAAGGCAATTCTTACAGAATGAGTGTCCACAAGGGGTTGTTACTGGCTCAAAAAACAACCTGAAAACAACCAAAATACCTGTTAGTTTTACATTAAACTCTCCACTGGAAAAAGTGAACAAATAATGGAACCATAACACTACTCTCTAAGGAGGGGCTGGGGGGCAGGAAAGGAAGGAAGGGGCAGTGATAAAGGTAATTATGCCCTCCTGAACCTTTTAAAAGTTCTCATCAACAGGGGTACCCTGCCAAGAGCCTAATGCTATACTGACTAATGGAACAGCCACTCACCACATGGGGCTACTGAGCACTTGAAATGTGGCTGGTCGTGGCTGAGAAGTACAATAAATGCAAAATAAACACCAGATTTCAGAGACTATGTACAAAAGAATTAATGTAAAATATTTACCATGATTGTATAGATTCTTATGTTATCATCACTTTAAAATGGCTTAATATGTTTATAAAAGCCTTACTATCTAAAATTCATTAATAAGAACCCAGTAAACCTTACAGTTGAATCTTAAATATTATGTTTAATACCATATGTAATAAATAATATAGAAAAGACTGATTTTACTTACATTCTAATTCTTTCCTGAAACATGATACTTCTGAACTGCCTCGAAGTATTGTTAGATACACAGGTACTTGAGCAGTCATCTGGCCTACTGCCCTCAGCTCAGGGTCAAAGACACGAAGGCTCAGAGGCAGGGGACCTGCTGGGAACTCAGCTAATTCCTACCAGCCCGATGTGGCCGGCACTGGGTCTCCTGACTCTCCATGCACTGTTCCCTTGACACCACAACAATCTCGGTGGAAATTATTCTTTTGAAACTCTTAGTGTTCTAGAATTACAAGCATTCTGCATGATGGAAATCTTTATCCAATTTTACTTAAAAAAAAAAAAAAATGGATGTATCTACATTTTAATAATATGTGTAACTTCTATGGTACTTTCCAATTTCCTAGTAACTTTTTTATATTTAAGTTGGGTGAGTCTTATACCACCTGCAGTGTAGGCTATGCAAATACTGACTCCACTTTCTAAGTAAGAAAAATCCAAATAGTGTTCAGAGATTAAGTTATTTGCCCAAGGTGTGCAAGGTATTTCTATCTTTTGATTTAGTCCAGGATTCTGTCACTTTACAATGCCTATTATTACAGTGGGTTACCTTTATCTACTCTGTAATTGAAAATATTCATCACTAATAAAACCTTATGTACTTACCTCATGCATAGAGAACACTCAAAATCTGAGACATCGATTAATTCTTCTGGGATGTCACCAGAAGTTAATGAAAATGTACAGACTTCATTACGAGTTTCTATTAAAAAGGAGAGACAGGACTATCATCTTTTAGGAAAAAGTTTAAAGACCATTCTAAATAAGTAAATGTGTTTTCTATGACTGTATTGACATTTTTACCTCCTTGTTTTTTAAGCTTGTTTCTTCCATCTTCATCTACAATCACATCCTGGTCTAAAAGAGACAACTTTCTTTTCAGCAGAGCACCTTTTTCTTGAACAGAGAGTAAAGGCTCCGAGGACACTCTTTTTAAACAGTCCTCTCTGGCAGGCATTTCTGTTGAATTTATAGCCTGTGCTGACCAAGTGCGGTTTAAGCTTCCTCTGATAAGCTCGGACGTGACCTCTGGTACTTCTTCGTTCTACAAAAATACAATAAACAAGGGTAACTGTATTTCTTCCCTATCCTTTATTGCTCTCACCAAGAATCCACTGAAATGAAATTCCAATGTCTCGCAAGGTTCATTTTACTGTTCAATTAAAAACACCAACTATTAATTCTAATACCCTGATAAATGACTTTTGCCAGTAATTATGCAGCTCTAGACATCAAGCTGGTATGTTACAATGAGGTTTACGCAGTTATGCTAATATACTTGTTCCAACCCTGAGGCAACTAAAATAAATCCGTGTTCTATATTTTCCACCAAAGTTTTCTGATATGCAGGATGACCTAAAATTGTGATTAATGAACAGGTATTTTACATAAAAGTTTAGTGTGAAATCAAAGGCTACAGACAAAAATCTAAGACAATGCTTAATAGATTAAAAGTGCCTATATAGATTCTAGTACTCCAAACAAAGGAAGTGAGAATCGTAATGTGTAAAGAAACAGATGCACTACACCCATGAAAATCCTTCCTCACCCTTTACCTGCTCTGGACTAAGCTCGCTGGCAGAATGAGACTCTTCCATTACTGAAGGAAAACCAAAATGTTTGTTTTTACTACATGGCAATGAGCTCCAGGAAGAGTCCTTCAGGCCTTCTTTTAAGTTCTCAGGTGATAATAAATCACATAAAATCTGTAAGAGAAATAATATAAAAGTAATGGAAAATATAAAACATTTGGTTAGGAATAATTTAATATAAAGGATCTAATATTTAAGAAATTTTAGAAAATTCCTAGCAGACATGGTTTTTAATAAGCAGAGGAGGAAGAGATTAAGTAATAAGCAGAACTGCCAAATTATTTGAAAGTCTTGTAAAACCAAGGTGTGCTTTAAATGGGGGTCAGATCACCTCAAAGAAATCATTCAAAAGGAAGGTATGGGAGCAGCTAGACTACTAGCCCAAGAAGGAGCCCAAAATAAAAACCAACTTTTTAATGGAGGATTGTAAAAAGAAGAGATCTTAGGAGATCTTATGTACCTCTGAACTTTAGGGAGTCCTATCCTGTCAAAATGGTTCACAGTTCACCCCAAAGTATATTGTAAGGCTGGGCTCTGAGTGTTTAAGTGAACTAAAGAACTCACCTAGTTACAAAACTCTTAAAATTCCATCCGTTTACACTGACTTTACTCACTGAACAAATAACCTGCGCAGGCAGCTATCACTGCCCAGCTCTGGGATGGGAGTACCATACGGCAGCTAGCCCAGAGCAGCTGGGAGTGCACCTGGAAGGCAGCTGTCCTATTCCTGACAGAAGCACCCAGAAATTTTAATACATCTATACACATCTAAACTCTCAAAACAACAACAACCACAGTAGGTTAAGTTAGGGGAAGAACCTGGCTAGAAGGAAATGAGAAGGGCTCAAATGTCTTTGTATTAAATGAACAGCAGAGCATTTCTTAAAGTCGAAATCCAGAAGTTTGGTCGTTCAGTTATACTCTCTCTCGATCTCACAAAAATGAGATTAGTCCTGAATCATTACAATGTAAATAAACAGGAGATATAGTCAACGTAAATAAAAGAATATCTGGTAGGAGCTCTAGCAATACCCCCTTTAATGAACAAGCATTTTAAAATTTGTATGTTTTTACATTTCCCCTGGTCTGAGTCTTAAACACTCACCTACTCTAGACCCCAGCAGATCCAGTAGGTACTTACCAAAGAAATAGAAAAACACATCCACAAAAGAACTTATACAAGAACGTTAGTTCATAGCAGCAACTGGTAACAACGCAAATGAAAATCACTACTAATACCATAAGTTGTGCTATGCTTCTACAATGGAATGCTTAGTGAACAATGAAATTTTTTAAAAATTGCTAGATATATCTCAAAACTATTATTTTCTGCAAAAAAAAAAAAAAAAAAAAAAAGCCAGACACAAGAATACATGTTGTGTGATTCCACTTGTGTGAAGTTTAGAATAAGCAAAACTACTCTATTTATACTCTAATAAAAATCTAAAGAGTAATGCCTCTGGGAGCAGGGATACAGGGGATTTGCTGAAAAGGGGATGACTGAGATGTCTAGCATGATGGAAATATTCTACATCTTGATTGGGGTACTGATACATGCATGTATAATTTCCAAAACAGTGGACTGTAAAATCCATGCATCATACGTAAAGTATACCACAATTTACAAAAAGCATATTGGGAGAAAAATATTTCAAAGCATCAGCTGTTTTGCCTTCACCTAACCTTATTAAAGGTCAACTTTTTAAATATTTACAGAAATAGAAGGATATTTAGTAGCATGGAAAATGCAAAATTATAAGCCCTTAAAAAGTCTGCAGTCTCCTCAGGGAGAGACCCCTAACAAATATAAAACAGAATACACACAATAGTAAACCATTTTTCATTAAATCAATGGGCTAGAAGCCTCGTGGAGGATATACTGATTATTAGCCATATTCATGAGGCATTGGGGATCTGAGAACATTTTCAAAGTTGTCATCCTTCTAAACGCACAAGAATCTCCCTGGGTTCTTGTAAAACTATGCCCAAATTCCAGAGATTCTAATTCCAACAGTCTGTGGTGAAGTCCAGGAATCTTTACATTTACCAAGCACCCAAGGTGATTCTGACAAAAAGCCACAATGTAAAAAACACTATCAAGGTGATAAATAACACCTCATGTTTCGTGGATACTGAAGAGAGTGTCATGATGACACTACAATTATATGGGGACAGACATTCCCAAAAAATTTTTCAAAGACTCTAGTCTTTCCAGATGCTCTGTGAATATGTTTGACAAAAGCTGAATGCTGCTCTCATGTTAGCAGAGCAAAACCTCTGAGAACTTCTGAAGAAACCTGTTTACCTTGGTTTAACCCAATGTTCCCCAAAATCATTTAATCAGAGGACTCCTTTTTACTTAACACCTACTAACACACCATAAAACAAACCCTGGAAAGTGATATATGGATTACTGAGAAAATTAAGGCAAAACAAATTGGGGCACTACTATGAGCACCTTGAAAATAAGCAAAACTGGGCGCCTGGGTGGCTCAGTTGGTTGGGCGACTGCCTTCGGCTCAGGTCATGATCCTGGAGTCCCGGGATCAAGTCCCGCATCAGGCTATCAGCTCCACGGGGAGTCTGCTTCTCCCTCTGACCTTCTCCTCGCTCATGCTCTCTCTCGCTGTCTCTCTCTCTCTCAAATAAATAAATAAAATGTTTTAAAAAAAAAAGAAAAGCAAAACTTACACTGGAAATTAAAAGCAAAAAGCAGCCCAATAAAAATTCCTAAGTTGGGGGTCCCAACGTGAGAAAAGAAAGGGCCAGAAAGCTTCTCTAACCTGGGGAAGAAAACAGAATCTCCAGGTCCAGGAAGTACAGGGTACCAAAGAAGATGAACACACAGAGATTCACACCAAAACACATTATAATGGAAATAGAAAAATTTCAAGACAGAATTCTAAAAGCAGCAAAAGAAAAACTTATTTGAAAGGGAAACCCCACAGGCCATCAGATTTATCACCAGAAACTTTGCAGGCCAGAAGAAAGTGGCATGACCTATTTAAAGGGCTGAAATGAAAAAACTTCCATCCAAGAATTCTCTACCCAGCAAGATTGTCATTCAGAACTGAAAAAAAGATTAAGAGTGTTCCATACAGGGGCACCTGGGTGGCTCAGTCGTTAAGCGTCTGCCTTCGGCTCAGGTCATGATCCCAGGATTCTGGGATCGAGCCCCACATCAGGCTCCCGGCTTGGTGGGAAGCCTGCTTCTCCCTCTTTCACTCCCCCTGCTTGTGTTCCCTCTCTCGCTGTGTCTGTCAAATAAATAAATACAATATTTAAAAAAAAAAAAAAGAGTGTTCCATACAAGCAAAGGCTAATGGAATACATCACCACTGAACTGGCCCTACAAGACATGTTAATGGGACTGCTCTGACCTGAAAAAAAGTGGCACTAATTAATAAGAAAACATCAAAGTAAACATCTTAGTGGAAAACAAATAGTAAAAGTAAGTAGATTAATCACTTATAAAGCAAATCTAAAGGTTAAAATTCAAAAAAAATTAAACTAATGGGTTAAGAGATGCATAAAATAAAGAGATGCCTAAGGTGACATGTAAAAATATAAAAGGTGAGCAGGGGGAGAAAAATGTAAAGTTTTGGAATGTGTTCAAATTTAAGTTGCTATCAACTCGAAACAGACCATTACATACAAAGAAAGTTCTATGTGAACCTTTTGGTGACTGCAAAGCAAAAACTGATGGTAAATATCCAAAAGAAAATGGGAAAATAATCTAAGCAAAGCACTAAAGAAAGCCATAAAACCACAAGCAAAGAGAGAAAGAGAAAAAAGGAAGACGAGGAATGATGAAAAGAGCCAAAAAAAATCATTAACCAAATGGCAATATACACATACCTATCAAGATTTACTCTATAGACCACACTCTCCAATCAGATGACGCAGGATGGCTGAATGGATAAGAAAATAAGATCCATCCATATGCTGCCTGCCGGAGACACACTTCACAAATAAGGATACATACACACTGAAAGTGAATGGATGGAAAAAGGTGTTCTGAGCAAACGGAAATGAAAAGAAAGCTGGTATAGCTATATGCATAACATACAAAATAGACTTCAAAGCGAGGACTTTAATAGTAGAGAAGGGCATTCCATAATGATAAACAAGATCCAACAAGAAAACATAATATTTATAAATGTATATACACCCAACATAGGAGCACCAAGACATATAAAGCAAATAAAACATACCTAAAGGAAGAAACTGACAGTAATACAATAATAATGAAGGACTTTACCACTTCATTGACATCAGTGGATAGTTCATCCTGACAGAAAATTAACAAGGAACCACTGGCCTTAAATGACACATTAGACCAGATGAACTTAAGAGATATACACAGAACACTGTATCCAAATTGCATCCAAAAATTTCAAGTGCGCATGGAATGTTTTCCAGAATAGATCACATTAGTCCACAAAACAAGCCTCACTTAAAGAATAATGAAATCATACCAAGCATCTTCAACCACAATGGTATAAAACTAATAATTACTTACAAGGAAAAAAAAAAAAAAAACAACCAAAATGTGGAGATTAAACATCATGCTATGAAACAACAAATCTTTGTTCCATCAAATAAATAAGAAACTTAAAAAAATAGCCAGAGATAATACAGAGGGACAATTACTAAAATCTTTGGGATGCAGCAAAAGATGTTCTAAGGGTTCTACCTCAAGAAATAAGAAAAATCTCAAACAACCTGACTTTATACCTAAAGAAGATAGAAAAAGAGAAACAAAGCCCAAAGTCCTAGAAGAAAGGAATTAATAAAGACCACAGCTGAAATAAATGAAACACAAAAAAAGGGAAGATCAAAGAACTAAGAGCTGGATCACTGAACACATTAATAAAATTGGCAAATGTCAAGACTAAAAAGAAAAGAGGGCTCTTGCATTAGAGAGAGAGAGAGAAAATTTGGACAGACCAATTCCTAGCAATGAAATTGATCAGTAATTTAAAACCTCCCAACATATCATAGTCCAGGAGCAGATGGCTTCATAGAGGAAATCTAACCAAACATGTAAGAATTAATATCCATCCTCAAACTATTCCAAAAAAAACCTAAAGGAAGGACAGATTCCAAATTCA